TTTTGAGTGCCTTCCAACCTGAAGAGCTCATCTTACAGCGTTCTACTGCTATTCAGAAGGTCTCTCGTGACTAAATATTCAGAAGCAGTCCATGTCTCCTTCTTCCTAGTCTGTCTTCATCTGGAAGTTTATCTGAAAGCTGTCCACCATGGGTGATCCTGCTGGTATTTAAAATACCCGTGGCATAGCTTCCAGAATCACAGCAACTCACAAGCCACCACGGTACGACAAACTGACAGTCGAGTGGTGGATTCAAACCATACCACCAGGCAAAGCAAAGCTTCTACAATTACACATGTGCTTATGAGCAAGAAGAGAACTCTGGGAAAATGCCCATAGGGTTAGTCAGAATGTAGAACCCTTCCCTCCCAGGTCTGGACAATGCACATAGTGAGTCACACTGGTCTCTGAGCACCACCTCAGCCAAGGGTGGACAGCCATGAGACCAGGATGTTCACGGTCTAAAAGGCTGGGTGGCCCCAGTCTGGAGGAGCCGTGGGCCTTCTGGTGAGAACATTAACAACCACACCCCAGGGTGTGGCCCTGTCTACCAGTGATGGCCTGGGCCACCACCACCAGCCTCGAACTCACTCAAAGGATCCTGTGCACATGAGTCAGCGCACAGAACCTCCTTGCTAAGAAGGGGCCTGCCCTGAGCGCAGACATCCTCTTATTGGGGAGGAGAGAGGCTCTACCCTGTTCGACACATAATTCCTCCATTCTCACCCAGCCCCGGCCAGTGGATTTGGTGAGGATTTGATTTGTGGTGAGGGTGGTGATGGTATGCCGTGGAGTCAGTTCTGACTCACAGCGACTCTACCATATGGTTTCTGAGGCTATAAATCTTTATGGGAGCAGAAAGCCTCATTTTTCTCCCATGGAACGGCTGGTAGTTTCAAGCTACTGACCTTGATAGTTGTTGTTGTTATTAAGTACTGTGGAGTCGGTTCTGACTCATAGTGACTCTGTACAGGGTTTCCGAGGCTGTAAATCTTTATGGGAGCAGAAAGCCTCATTTTTCTCCCATGGAACGGCTGGTAGTTTCAAGCTACTGACCTTGATAGTTGTTGTTGTTGTTGTTAAGTGCCGTCAAGTCGGTTCCAACCCATAGCGACCCTGTACAGGGTTTCCGAGGGTATAAATCCTTACGGGAGTAGAAAGCCTCATCTTTCTCCCACGGAGCGGCTAGTAGTTTCGAACCGCTGACCTTAAGGTTCGCAGCCCGATTCGTAACCACTACACTACCAGAGCTCCTTCACAACAACCAGAGCTCCTTGGTTTTCACAAGTAACCTGTATTTTGAGAGCAGTAAAAATTCTAGAGAACTTTAACAGTTCAGATAGCAACTTTTACAAATGATCATCTCACTGATATTTAGAATGGTGTCCAGTTGATAAATACGTCCTGGTGTGATGCTGTTGGATAAGCACTGGACTGCTAACTGCAAGGTTGCAGGTTCAAACCCACCAGGCTCACCTTGGAAATCTCATACAGGGTCTCTGTGAGTCAGAACTGACTCAACAGCACTGCACAACCACAGCAACACAATGATATTAGCAAGGCCACTGGCTGCTCTTAGGAGAAGAATCTCACCTGATGGAAGAAGTCATCCATAAAATGGTCCTTCTCAACAACAACAGTTGTGTCTCCATCATCATTTTTCCGGCACTGAAATGGAAAACACAGAATGTTAACAATATACCTTTATGGAGACCTCACCTGTAAACAGAAAGACAAAAGCAGTTCAATGCCTACAAGGTCTCAATCACTCGTTTGACCAATGAGCACCGGAGTGTCATACAGTAGCAGCCACCTCTTGCCATTTAACTCTGCAACTGTTTCAACAGAACAGAGAAGTGCAGCCAGACTGCTCCGTGGAGGCCAGGATGGCCAGACTTCAACTCTCACACATTGTACATACTGTCAGGAGGGACCAGTCCCTGGAAAAAGACATCAAGTTTGGTAACATGGAGGGTCAGAGAAAGAGCGGAAAACCACCAATGAAATGGATTGGCACCGTGGCAGCAGTGATGGGCTTATGCATAGCAATGATTGTCAGGATGGCACAGGACTGGGCAGTGTTTTGTTCTGTTGTACACAGGGTTGCTATGAGTCAGTACCGGCTCGATGGCACCTAACAATAACAACAACAAAACTCAAAAACTCTGTAATACTGACAAGAAATAAGGAATTACATAGGAAAAAATATTAAAATGCTCAGCTGTGAACCAAGAGTTCTGCAGTTCAAGCCCCCCAGCTGCTCTTCGGGCCAATGAGGCGGCAGTCTGCGTCCTTAGAGAGTTACAGACTCAAAACCTCTATGGAGCAGCTCAACTCTGTCCTACAGCTGGTTGTGAGTGGGATCCACATAAACGAACAGGGAAACCTCAGCTGGAAAAGCCAGGACTATCTGTCTACGGTAGCAGGGGAGGGGAGCCCATAAAGGACGGCACAAGTGAATGGGCAACTGAAGTACATCACAGTTACTGGCCACCAGTGACCGACAGGCCTGTGGGCTTAGCAAGCCACTGAGCAGTGCTCCGAGGCAGGAGCTGTCCCCAGGGGCCCTGCGCAGTGAGTCAGCTGGACTCCGCTGGGGAAAGCCGAGGTAGCAGTGAAATTCAGGACTCTCCTTCTTACACAGAACAGGGCAGGGTCTGTGCCCATCCGAGGCCTGAGACCTGAACTACTGAAACACAACACAAGAATCATCTAGACACGAAAAGTCTACTAAGACGAAGGTAAGAAGACTCTGGAAACCAGGACACGTCACATAGTGTGTTAGGAGAACATTCCAGATCCTCCCTCTCTCCCACCCACGTCACATGGAGGGCCCCGCCCTCAGTGACCTGCCTCAGGCCTTGCCTCAGTTCCTGGAGGCTGCTGTCAGAACAGGAAGTTCAGCAGATACCTCCACTGCAGCTCAACCACGGCTGGGGGTTCTGGTCCGTCTGCAGCCATCAGCCCTGTAAGGGTGACAGCGTAGGAACCCCTAAGGGGAAGCTGGACTCTTCTACAGGGACACTATGAACAGCGGCAGCAAGTCTGATCACAGTCTAGGAGTCCTAAGGGGCAGTTCTCAATAACACAGGCTCACCAGAAGGCAGAACTGACTGAAACCACTCACAACAACATGAGAGGAATATAAAGGAGACCCCAACTCCAGGTACTGGAAACTGCTTCACTCCCCAACTCCTGAAAGACACAGCCGTAGCACCACACAGTGCCCCCACACCTAGAACACGTCCTGCAGTACACACACTGTGTCCTCCCACCTAGAACACGCCCTGCAGTGCACACACAGTGTCCCCACACCTAGAACATGCCCTGCAGTGCACACAC